GGGAATAAGTCGTTCATCAGCAGTTCGTGAACCAAACGAATCGGAAGTTAATTTGGCCAGAGAGTATACATCATCAGGAGAGATTACTACCTTATGGTACCTTACTACCTCTATGGGAGAGATACAATATATCCCTACTCTATGCTCCCCACTCGCAGCCGCCGCTTGTTGACCGCAGATTTTGATATTATTGTCTTGTCATGTCTCGTTAGGCAGGTTCAAAAATTTCACGTAAAAAATTCACGTCACGCTGTACAATGTCTTACACCGTGGTGAGAGGTGCGGTGTAAGATGTGTCTTACGTGTCTTACACAGTGTGAAAGAGTATTCTCTTTCGTTCACCGATCTCGCTGAATTCTCGTTGAATTATCTCTAAACGAATCGACTCCATCAGAGTCCTTTCAACAAGATACATTTCAACAAGAAAGGATCTAGGCGTACAAAGAAATAGAATGTTCGAGTGGTATCAACGGTAGTAGGCCATAGATTAACACACAATCAGCCATGGAAATGCCTATATAAACACTCCCCATAAATATTTCCACATCACTTCCAACAATAATTGCACATCTATGAAAATATACAATTAGAATTTCTTTCAAAGTGGCAATAAATTATTAAGAAACAGGACGAAAAGAAGAAGGAAGGGAAAAGAAGAGGAAGAAATAAGTTTTCTTTGGCTATTTTTTTACACCATATATATAGTGACTATTATGGGATACATTTTATTAATCAACTTTTCAATGGTTGAAATATTCAATACTGTATGTGCCTCTTGTGTTCTCCAAGCAATTTATTTACTAGTTCTGATATTCAAAACAAACTTTTACATTTATTCTCTACAATTGATTCAAACAATGATGAATACTATTAGTGTAAAGAGATGTAATTTTTATTTTTCATAGAAATTCTCATATTAGATTAAATATGTACAATGTTTATCTTTCTGTGTTTTATTTCAGTACAGAAGGGAGAGGAAGTTTTAAAAATAGTCCTTGTTTTATTTTTTAAATAAAAAAAAACTTTTCATTACCAATAGAAAGATGTACTTGTACTTTTTATTTTACAAAATGTAAGGGAGATACAGAAAAAATCCATTTGCAGTGTGCTTATTTGGTTCTTACACAAAGTCAATTGATTTCTTTTTGTCATGACTGAGAGATGTAGTAGTGGAAATTTACAATAGGATATTTGAAAGTACACAATACAGGTTTTTAATAATGAACTATGAGTAATTTTATTGATTTTACTAAAGTAAACATTTATTTCAACATAATGATGTAGCAAAATTACATTGTTCAATAATGTAAAATTCAATTACATAAATAATGTTCAATTACATGTATACTACATAGGTGTCACACTACGTGTTCTGTTTACCGTACT